ATAAATTTATAAATATTATTTATTAAAATAATTATTTTAAAATTAATATTAATAAACATTTTTCAGAGAATATCACTGTCAACACAATTCACTAATAATATCCATTTTTTATTTTATATTTTGTTACAATTGAGAAATAAATTTATCATTAGAATTAATTGACAAGAATTGTTTCTGTTTCTATAAGTTCTGAAATATCTGTTAAATTTAATTATATTTTACAATTTTTTTACGATATCGATAGTACAGATAATTGAAAAATGTTTATCAATAAGATTCCAAATTAAAAACAGTTTAATTTATGCATATATTACATGACATAAATGTATATCAAGCATTTAAACAAACTGTTTTTCTAATTGCTGAATTAAAAAATTACATAATACACCATTTTATTCAAAATTTTTTAACTGAATATTTCATAGAAATTTATACAAATATATAATTTTGAAATTTAATTAAAATATTAATTATATTTAAAGTTACCAACTTCATTTTTCTCACAGCATAATTTTTCTACAGTTTTTTCCAGTTCTACTTTTAATTTAGAAAGATCTTCTTTTTCTTGTTCCATCAATGATTTTACTTTATTCAAATATGATACAATTTGATTCTAAAAATTATAATCCATATAATAACAATATGTATAATAACAATATGTAACAATAACAATTATAAATTATTAAATATTGAAATTTACAATATTTATATTTATATTACCTGTTGACTTATAGAATTCCTTGGATTTTTAATATCCTAAGAAAAGATAAAATTTTAAATTTAAATTAAATTTAAATTTTTTAAATTATTAGTTATATTTGAAATTTAGAAATATTATTTTTATTATTTTATTAAAATATTTTTTTTTAGATATAAGAAAAAAAAACAAAATTATTATGTATATAATTTTACCAACCTCTTGAAAAGTTTATATAAAGTTTTTTATATCAATATAATCATTCTATATATTATGAATTTCCTGAAATTTTATTTTGAAATATAAATAAAAAATATATTAAATAATAAATATATAAATGAAATATTGATTTCAATGTGTAAAAGAAAAATGAATGAAATATATATATATTATATTTTTATATAAATGGCAATCATATTGAAATATAATATTGAATATTTTAAATTTATAAATTATATATATATTTAATATCAATATATTAATTATTATATCAATTGATTAGTATATATGTACATACAATATATTTTAATTTTCAGAAATAAAAACATTTTTGTTGTCCAAAGATTGTTTACATATATTAAAAGGTGGCAATTTTTTGCTGTATTTCAAAATTTTTTTATCAATATTGTGAAATTTTGTATACATATTAATTTTACTAAACTCAGTGTTCGCACAATAATCTATTGTTTTATTTTCTTTTGTTTTCATTGTAGGTATATTTTTTGTTAATTTATTACAATCCAAAATATTTTCAATATAAGTTTGTAAAATAGAATTATTTTTATGCTTTGTAGATGTTTGCATCATTTTTGATACAATAATTTTTTCACATAATTTACAAAAAAATTCCATCTCTTGATTATCAATAGTAATTTTGTTATAACAATTATGAGTAGAAGAAAAGAAACTAGAATATAGACACTGAAAATAAAAAATATCATTATTATTCATGTACAAATGCACGATTTATAATTTATACCTTAGCTATTCGTCTTAGTTCTTTTCGCATTTTTTTAATGATGCCCTCTTTAAAATGAATTTGCATATTTGCATAATGACATTGCTCTTGCAATGTAGTCATTTCTTTTTGAAGAGAAGTTACTATTTCATTTTTTTCCATCACTTCAGCTGTTAAAACACTTTGCTTCTCTACTGATTCCTGATAGTTAATACAAATAAAATTATAACTAAATTGTTATTTTGAAATAAAATACACATGCAAGCAAAAAGTTTTAACACAAACTTTTTGAAGATTAGCCATCTGTTGCTCTATGTCTTGAACTGTCTTGTACTTTTCATTCAACTGAATCTTTAAATTATTCAAATTTATATCGCTATCGCGAATTGTTATTGCCAAATTAGATTTCGCGTCGCGTAAACGTTCGTGCAAAATTTTTATTTCTACATCTTTTTCAAGTAATAGATTTTCCACAATATCAGCCATTAACATAATCTGGATAGCAATAAAAATTTAAAAAATAATTTATCATTATCAATTTAGAAATTATCTTAATCTCATATATTTGAAAATATTTCAACATGATTGCCTTATTATTTATTATTTAATATATATTTAATATTTAATTATTTTATTTTATTAGAATTATGCATATATTATGTACATATGCATATATGAATAAATATTCTAAATTTCAATCTATATTAATTATTTTACTTAAAAGATGTTAACTTACATCAAAAGTTTCTTGATTATTTTCTATAAATGTACTGCATGCAATTTGATCTGTAAATTTAACACGTCTTCTAAGATTATCACTAAGATTTTGAAACTGAAAAGCATATGTTTTAATGGTATCTTCCTTTATTTGTAATTTTGCATTAAGATCAATTAATTTATCCTCTAATTCTTTTTGGTGTCTAGAAAAATAAAAAATTTATTATTTACAATTATATGTATGATATCAAATTTTCAATATTTAAATTCTTTTTTTTATTTTTACTTACACAATCATTTTTTTTTCATTTTCTTCAAAATTTTTTATTTGCAATTTTAAAGATTGTACTTTTTTGTGATTTATATCTTCCTAATTTTAAAATCAGAAAATTAATTTCAAAAAATTAATATATTATTATTAATATATATTATAGAAAATTCAAATATAATAAAAACGACAATTTATACATAATTATGTTACATACCCACCATTTATTTTGCATAAAAATTGTATAGTATATGTAACAAAGGATTTAATAAAAAGAGTGTAGGAAATTAAAATATAAAATAAAAATATAAAATATATATGTACATATATAGCAAAAAATAAAAGCTTAATTAAAGAGTTGTTGAATAGGAAGGATGTATCATGCAAATACTTCTGTCTAATGGATAATTTGATTTATTCATGAAGTCATGACTAATTTGTATTCTAAGTTTGAATTTCTTATCACCATCTATGTTTATATTTACCTGATCACAGGTACAACTGCAAAAGTATAAAAGAAACTGTTACTTAATTTTAATAAGGAAAATTTGTATATTTCAAATTCATACAAATTTAGAAACATTAAAAATAATCACTAATAATAAGTAATATAAAAAATAAACCAAAGATATCAAAGATTAAGAGAACTTTGATTAAGAGAACTTACTTAGTAGGAACAGGTATATCACTAGGTTGAATTTCAAAAAATTTTATATCATCCAAAGTCCAATGATTTTCTTGTGCAGCACGCCGTATTAATTCTAATAATCCTCTAATATCACTTTGAAGAAATTCAATTTTTTGTTGCATACATTCTTCATCTTTTTCTAAATTACTTACACGATTTAAAAGTGTACTTATAGTCTATAATAACAATTATGTCTTATATTATAAATTTAGATTATATTATTTTAATAATTTGAGAAAAAAGATTTTAAATATCATACCTTTTCTGTATTCGTTGACTTTTTCATATTTCCAGAAACTAACATTGATGAATGTTTCAATTTTTCTTCTAATAATTTAACTCTGTTACAAGCAGCTTGTTCTAAATCCTCTACTACTTGTACTAGCATAATGTTTTGTTCTTTTAAATTTTTAATCCATTCCTTTGAAATTTCTAATTTCATCTATAAATTATTAAATATTAATAAAAATTAAAATATAAACATATTTTTCCATATTAATTAATTTATTTCTGTTTTTTTTCATTAAATATTATAACATATAAAATATATTTTTTATAATTAAAATTTTTTTATAAAATTATAAATTTGTTTAATATTCTTAATATTTTTAATGTATATTAAAAAAAATAAAATCTTTTAAAGATTTTATATTATAGTATATAGTTTGAAATAACTTTAATTGTTTTATTAATAAATAATGTAACTTATTATTTATTAATTAATTAAGTTGAATTTGAAATTGTTAAAAAAATATACAAAAAAAAACTTTGAAAAATTTATATTTAAATTAGTCAATGTTATATAAAGTATATAATTGTATTTATTTTAAAAATATATATATGTAATTTTTTTAAATTTAAATAAATAATAATTAAATTATACAAATAGAATGGCAATAAATATATTAAATTAACTTCATATTAGAAAGAACTTACACAAACTTGATCAAATTTATTTTCAAATTCGCGATCAACATTTTCAATACGTGTCTCATACAATTTTTGAAATTCATCGATAATTTTTAAAGTCTCAGTTTCACCGCAAAATTCCCCGGTAGTTTCATCAATAGCAGTACAATTGCGATCTTCATCGGAAAGTTTAGAAACACATTGAGTAAATTCAATCGAATCAAATGAATTCATGGCATATGAATGTAAAAACCAAATAACACGTATGAATTATTAATTTGTTAAATTAAAATCTTCCTACACTCAGATTATAAATAATCTTAAAATAACAATCAACACATACTAACTCGCCATTTTATCATTATAGTTGTCAACGTATTTTTATATCTATGAATAGTAGATAAGTGAGAGGCATAACTCTATTTTTTTTTAATCCTATAAAGAAATTAAATATACAAATATTTACATGAAAGAGCGGCTTTAAAAAAATAATTTTTAATTAAATTGAAATTGTATATTTCTAAAATTATCAATATCAAAAAATGATAATTATAAATAAATTTTATATAATTTCTTATTTATTATATTATTCTTATTTTTGATTTGATTGTTGATATTTTTATTATAAATTATATTTTTTTTATAAAAACAAAAGAAATGCAAAAATAAATTCTTATTGATAAATATTTATTAAGAAATATTAGATATAACATAAATATTAAATAAATACATTATAATTATTTAATAAAATATATTAAAAAAAATATTGATAATTAAAGTAAATATTTTAAATGCATTAAAAAGTTTTTCAACGATTGAATTAAATTTAAATTTTCATTGAAAATTTGACCAATTTTTATTTCATTTATAAATATAAATAGGTTAGAATCACATGTTATAATCAAAATCATAATTTTTAAGTTTTGTTTGTGAATTTTTTTCTGACCATGTGCATAACATTTCTTTATGTAAATAATTAATTATTTTTATATGAATTTAAAAAAAATTTTTTTATTTTCTAATATAAATAATGTTAAAATTAATACGATTTTATTAATGCAAATTTAATTTATATAAATTTTTATACCGTTATATCGTTTTAAGAAATATCTAAATAATAATTATTTAATTAAAAAAATGAATAAAAGAAAATTTGAAGAGGAAAATGAAAATAAACAAAATAATGGAAATTCTTCAATAGAAACAATAAAAGTTAAACGGATTTTATCACGTTTTAAATCAGATAAGGGTGAAATATTACCTGGTGGTTTATTAGATTTACCTATAAATATTACAGTTGATAAATTACAAACAATTTGTAATACACTTTTACAAAATGAAGAACCTATACCTTTTGCTTTTTATGTAAATAATATTGAGATCACAGATAGTTTGGAAAATAACATTAAAGAAAATTTTAATGTTAGTGAGGATATAATTGAAGTTATATATCAACCACAAGCAATTTTTAAAGTGAAAGCAATTACACGATGTACTGGATCTTTAGAAGGTTTATATTTTATTATATAGAATTATAAAATTTTATATATATTATATTAAATAAAAGCAAACATTTATGAAACATAGGACATAAAGAGGCAGTGATATCAGTTGCTTTTTCACCTAATGGAACATGTTTAGCTAGTGGTTCTGGAGATACAACAGTTAGATTTTGGGATATATATACACAAACTCCATATTATACATGTGAAGGTCATAAACATTGGGTATTATGTATATCATGGTCTCCATGTGGAACTAAGCTAGCATCTGCATGTAAAAATGGTACTATATTATTATGGAATCCAAAAACAGGAAAACAGATAGGTAACTAATAGAAAAATTTACTTTTATTTATAAAAAAATGAAAAATAAACTAATTTTTTAAAATATAAATGATATAATTTATATTTGATTCCTATACATTTTTAGGAAAAGCTATGTTAGGTCACAAAATGTGGGTTACTTCTTTATGTTGGGAACCATATCACAAAAATTCTGAATGCCAATATTTAGTTAGTGCTTCAAAAGATTGTGATTTAAGAATATGGGACACAATACGTTCACAAACAGTTCGTATTCTCTCTGGTCATACAAAAAGTGTGACATGTGTTAAATGGGGTGGAAATGGTCTTATTTATTCTGCTTCACAAGATAGAACTATAAAAGTATGGAGAGCTAAAGATGTAAGTTAATACATAAAAAAAACATACTAAAAAATAGCAAATATATAGTAAATTTTATAAAGTGTTCATATAATTAAATTAACATGAAATTAAATTGAATACATATAGGGAATTCTATGTAGAACATTAGAAGGTCATGCACATTGGGTGAATACTTTAACATTAAATGTTGATTATGTACTCAGAACTGGTCCTTTTCATCTTGGAACAGAGCAAAATGAAACTGAAACTCGTGTAGAATATGCAAAAAAATATTATGAATCTGTGGGTGAAGAAATACTTGTTTCTGGTTCTGATGATTTTACATTATTTCTATGGAAACCAGAAAAAGAAAAAAAATTCATTGGTATTATTCTTTATAACATATATATATATAAATAGATGATTTTCATAAAATAAAAATATAAATATTTTTCTCTCTAAATTTTTAGCAAGAATGACAGGACATCAGCAATTGATTAATGATGTAAAATTCTCGCCAAATGGTCGTATAATTGCATCTGCTTCATTTGATAAATCAATAAAATTATGGGAATCAAATACAGGAAAATATATAACTTCATTAAGAGGTCATGTACAAGCTGTATATTCAATTTCATGGAGTGCAGATTCTCGTTTACTTGTTAGTGGCAGTGCAGATTCTACTTTAAAAGGTAAATAAAAATAACAAATATTTTTATATTATTTTAATATATATAAAT